GTAATTTAGAGTCTATACGATTGTCAGCGTGGCGGGGCCCTGCCTGTTTTTGTTAAATGATCAGTATCCTATTAGGGCTAGTTTTTCTTCCAGTTGCATGCTTATCGAGATCCTTCAGTATCTTTCTAAAAAGGAAATACGCCTCTTTCTAAATACTAGGACGAGTGTAATTAGTATCTTAGCTGTGGCCAAGCATGGACAAGGAGGCAGCATGTCCCAGGGGAAGCTTTGTGGGTGTGTCTGGTGATCCTGGATTTGAATTCACATATAAAAACACTCCCTGGCAGGTCTTTATCTGACATCCTTTGGAGTTGGTGATCTGCCAGTGGAGTTCAATGTCATGGCCAAGCCTACTGCCCAGAGGGGCAGCTTCCAAGATTTGCTTTAGGAATAGTCAATGCAGAATTCATTTAATTCATACACACCGGGAAATGGAAACCAAGAATCCATTCCTCCTTTTGGTTCCTGTTTGTTGGGTTATTTTCCCCTTCACTGGCAGATGGTGCTCACCAGAATATGCTATGTGGTGGAGTTCAATTTTTTTATCTGTTTTTTTTTTCAGTGAGATATAATTCACATACTGTAAAATTCACTCTTTTAAAGTGTACAATTCAATTTTTTAAACATATTCACAAGGTTGAGCAATAGTCATCACTATCTTAATTCAGAACAGTGAGGTTTAAATTTGTCTTGAGTCTTTGCATGAAATATCAACCAGAGGTCAACTCTGATTCTCAGGAACCTTTTTAAAAAATTTGGTTCCTCTTGCAAGGGAAGCTGCAATTTTTATTGAAGTGTCATTTTTAAAAATCATAATAAGAAAAAATGTTAGAGGACATTGGATTTTTCTTAGCCCTGTTATGTGATTTCTTTCTGCTATTGATGATTTTTAAATCTTAGATCTTCAGGTTGGGGCTTATTACCTCAGCTTTGTTACAATAAAGAATATTTAAAGCAGAAACAATAAGACTTTTTGTGTTCTCTTGTCCTTTCTCTTATTTGTCAAGCCTCTTTAGACAGGGCTTAGACCTGTCTTTTTCTCCTTTGTCACCATCACCTCGCACAGTGCCTCCATACAGGAGAGGCTCAGTAAGATTTGCTGAATAAATGGGCTCTATTGGGTACTCAGGGGAGGCTGTTTGGGGGTGTATATCACTCCAGGTGGCTCATGGCAACCTTAGTACTTTGGCCTTGTGAATAGCCAGGGAATTATTTTGTACCCCTAAGATGTAGCTGCTTCTAGAAAGTAAGAGCTTGACTTCTTCCCATGTATTTCTAGGGAAGGAACTGGCAAGGACCCTACCATCTCCATAGCTCCCAAGAACTCTCATCCAACTGTAAACCAGATGTGTAAAGCCTTCTTGAGTTGGTATCGTGAAGCATGGTGTAAGTGGTATGAGTTGTGTGAGTCTTTGAATGTGCACACATGATGTGCACATGCATGATCGCCTAAGCACACAAGGGAACTGTGAGGAGTTCCTCTGTGTTTTTATAATTGCCCCTTTCTTCTTTCTGCCCTTTTGTTTGTTAATAGGCCAGGGTTCAGAGGGGCCTCCAGTCTGGGCACATGGCCCAGGAGTGCTGGTATTCAGTGGCCCGTTGTTTCCTGCCCCTTGTGTGCATGGACGGGGACTGGGGCCAGCATAGCTGCCTTCTTGGGGACCATTGTTTGTCTTTGTAGGAGCAGCAGCAACAGCAGCGCCTAAAGCAGCACATTTTGCCCTGGATAGAACAATTGTCCTGTCTTGGAGCTGTATGCCTAAGAGTGAGAGTGGTTAGAATTTCCCTTAATACCTGTGTGGATGCTTTGAAGATGGTAACAAGGGAGCCATCTTCTTTCTTCTTCCATTCTTCTTTCTTCTTCCTTTCTTCTTTCTTTTTCCTTCTTCCTTCTTCATTGTCTTTCTTATTTCTCCTCCTCCTCTTCCTTCTCCTCCACCTCCTCTTCTTCCTCCTCCTCCTTCTTCCTCTTCTTCTTTTTGGCCAGTATTGAGGGAGGGGAGATGCTCAGTTGTGTCATATCACAAATAAACCACACTGGCAGGTGGTATCTATTAACAGCGCCTCTTTTTTTTTTTTCCTGGATCAGGGGTGGGGATACTGCTTTCTCACAGTCTCTGTCCCCTGGGCTTCCTGGTAGACCTCAGGGTGCACTCACAGGACAAGAAAAGCACTTCCCTCTAAGCTGTCCTGTAGGGTAGATCTAGGAAGTGGGGAAGGGATCCAGTCTGGTTGTGGACAGATTGAAGCATAGCTAGCTAATGAGTCAGTGGGCAAGTCTATACTTGTCTTAGGGGCCTCAATCAACCCTCAGCTGGAAGGTGGAAAAGGCGATGTTCCAGGAGTAAGAGTCATGGTCACTGTGATTTACCCAGAAATACTTTCAGAGACTCCAAACTGGTGTTCTATTTCTCTTGTTTTTGTTTCTCTGACCTACTATTAACCTCTTTGACAAGTAAAGACAAACCTTAATTTAGCTCTAGCTCCACTTGCCTGATCGTTGACCCTTTGGTAAATTACCTGAAGAGTCTTACTTCAGTTTTCTCCTTAGTGTAATCAGGATTATTGTGGATACCTTACAGACTACCTGTGAGAATTAAATGAGATGATATATAGAAAGGCCCATAAAATGTATTCAATAAACACATGCTCCCTTCCCTTCAGGGTTCCAGAGGGAGTACCTGTGATGCAGCGTATACTGTGCTGCCCTCATTGAGGCACCTGACAAAGTCAGGCTGGATTTCCTTGCTGACTGGATGTGCTTGGGGGTTTCTTACATTAAATCACATATCTCAGAGGCCTCCTATGAAATACTTGTTCCTTGGACAGGCTAAGTCTGGAGTGGCCTACTTCTGGAACTTCATGGGACTTTGCCTCGTCCTCTCTTTTTTTGGCAGAGGGTGGGTGTCATCCAACTAACTGTTTCTTTCTATTCCCCTGGCGAGTGAGATTACTGAGGTAAATTCTTAAGTGCATTACAGGGGACTCAGAGGGACCTGACAGCCTTACTGCCCATCCATATCCCCTGTACATCTGTTACTGATTCAGTACCTGGAAAGCCTTTCCACCCTAAAGAGGCCTTGGTTCTTAATGGATGAAATTTAAGTAATATTAGTAAGCATTGTGAATGCCCTCTCAATGCACAGTTTGCCCACCCAATGGCTATTACTATCAGCTTTTCACTAATATATGGAAGGGGTACAATGCCTTCAGGAGTAGTCTTAACAAGGGCTGTTCCCTTTAAGAGACCCAGAAATCCCTGGCAAGAACCAGATGCCTGACATAACCTCTGCAGATCTTTACCCCCAATACCCTTGTAATCAGACTCCATAAAACACAGAACAAGAGAGCTTTGATGAGTGATGAGGTAGGCAGCTTTTCTGCATAGCCTTCTGTCTGCTTGAAACAATCCTCCGGAGCTCAGTTTCAGTTCAGGTGAGGTTACTGCAGGGCTGGTTGGCATTGGTGGTTGACAGGGAGAGAGATGAGGATGAAGAGGGTGAGAATTGCGCTTACAGATCACCTGAGATCATCTGCAAAGGACATACTGATATTTGTAAAAACAGAAACAAAAATGTAGATGGGGACAGATTATAGAGCCTCAACTACTTCAAGGCAAAGCTAAATGCACCATTTACCCACCCTCATTGCTTCATGAACATTTCAACATCATAGTTCTCATCCTGTTTTTCTCTGATTTATCTGCAGCTCACATGAAAACTCTAGACCCCCTCTCCCCATAATGATGCATTACATAGCATAGACAGAAAGCATTGTTACAACTGTACTACTTGGGAATGAATTTGGGGCATGCATAAGGAAAGGCATAATATAGGTGATCCTTTTCTGTGGGATTGGAGTCACTGTCACATCCTAAAGCACTTGGAGCTAAGCAGGCTTGCAGAGGAAAAGGATGAAAGAAATGGCTCCATTCTGACTCAGATGGGGATTGGGACATCACTTCAGCAGGATACACACTGCAGGCCTTCTCTGAGCTGAAAATCAGTCTGGCTTTGGCAGACTGCTTCCTGTGAGTGCCAGGTCTCTTGTCAGTAACAAATGCGGTACTGCATTTGAGGCAGATCTGGTCGCATCTGTAGCTTCCTTTGCAGCAGTTCCAGAGATAGTATTTGCTAGCTCCATACAAGGACCCTGACCAGCCAGAAATCTGCATGCTAGAGCTTAACCAGAAATATTTATAGCTATGACACTATAGAGGCACTTCAGCATCCCTGAAGATTAAGCAACACGGATATGAGTGATATTTGTTAGTGAAAAATTCCAAGTCTTCTTAAAAAAATGATTTTCATTCTGTGATATTGGAAACTGTGAAATCTGATTGACAGTGAATGGTTTGCTTGCCCAGAAGTCTTGTGTTTGTTTTGTTTTGATTGCTACAATTTGACCTTGGGAAATTTTCTTTCAATCTCCATTAAAATATCCTGACCTTCATCCTACTTCATGAAGATGCTAAACAACATTTTGAAATGATGGGGAAAGTGCAAAAAGTAGGAGCATGGGCTCTAAAGTCAGTCTCTTGGGGTTTGAATCCCAGCTTCACCACTTAAAAGTTTGACTTCTTCAAGACTCAGTTTTCTCATTTTAAAAATGGGGATAAGGTAGTACCTACCTCTTAGGATGGTTGGGGTGATAATTCATTTGGGCCCTCTGCCAGAAGACAACCCAGATTGTGGCTCTCTGCCACTAGAAACATAGTAATATAAATGGTAGATAGGAATATTATTATGTTTAATAAGCAGCTTCTCCTAAGTGATTCAGCAGATTCCTGGTTCACAATGTTCTTTAATGGTGTAAAAAGGGTTGGCATTTTTGGAGGTGCCTCACATTGTATGGACAGTTTAGACTTTAGGCTTTTTCGTTCAGGGCTTTGAATTTCCCAGGGCACGGGGAATAAGTAAATGGAAGGTGGGTGAATATTGGCATGCATGGTGGTTTGTTCAGGGCTGTCTTTCTGACTGTCTTCCTTGTTTTTGTTGTAGAGATCCGTGCTCAGCTCACAGAGCAGATGAAATGCCTGGATCAGCAGTGTGAGCTTCGGGTGCAACTCTTGCAGGACCTCCAGGACTTCTTCCGAAAGAAGGCAGAGATTGAGATGGACTACTCCCGCAACCTGGAGAAGCTGGCGGAACGCTTCCTGGCCAAGACACGCAGCACCAAGGACCAGCAATTCAAGTAGGGGTTCTGTGGCTGTTACTCTCAGACCTTGGAATAGGGTTCAGGGTGGAGCAGGGCAGGGTACACTACTTAGATCCAGTTGGATTCAGGAGCTGCTGGCTTTAGATTGGTTGAAAGCCCTCAAGGACTTCTCGTTTTTCAGATCAGGCTTGTGTGCAGTTCAACATTTCATAGAGATGAGAGTAGATGATGAACCATGCTAATAATAACAGCCAACTTGTTTATAGCTCTATTGCCAGGCATGCTACTAAGGGCTTTATGTGTATGTTAGCTTGCTTAATCCCAACAACAACTCCATATGATGGTTATTGTTATGATCCCCAATTTATAGATGAGGAAACTGGGGCATAAAAAGGTTAAGGGGCTTAACTTAGGGTCTATCTTAATCTCTCTCTCTCTCTCTCTCTCTCTCTCTCTCTCTCTTTCTCTCTCTCTCTCTCACACACACACACACACACACACACACACACACCCCTACACTCACACACCCCTAGTAAATAGTACAGCTGGAATTCAAACGCAGGCAGTGTGTGGCTCCAGGGTCTATATTTTTAACCATTTCACCAAACTGTCTTTAATTAGGAGAAATAAATGATGTTGAGGCCATTATATCTAAATCCCTGTCCAGGCAGTTGCTAAGGTCTATTTCTTCTATATTTACTTTATTTTATACAGCTGGCCCCTTCACTTGGTTCCCACTGCCATTGCCCTAGTTTAGATCATCATCTTTTTTTGCCTGAATGATTGCAGTATTTAGTATATCTTCTATAGCAGATTTTCAACCCTGGCTGCACATTAGAATTCCCTGGAGAACTTTAAAAAAAAATACAGAAATCTGGGCCCCACTCCAGACCAATTAAATGAGAATCTGTGGGAGTGGGGCCTGGGTAAAGGGTGGTGTAAAAGCTTCCCAGGTGATTCTAATGAACATCCAGCATTGAGGATCACAGTCTGCAGCAGGGGTATCCAATCTTTTGGCCTCCCTGGGCCACACTGGAAGAAGAAGAATTGTCCTGGGCCACCCATAAAATACACTAACACAATAGCTGATGAGCTTTAAAAAAAGTTGCAAAAGAAACCTTACAATATTTTTAAAAAGTTTACAAATGTGTGTTGGGCTGCATTCAAAGCCGTCCTGGCCCCCATGCAGCCCACAGGCCGTGGGTTGGACAAGCTTGGTCTACAGCTTCTCCCCATTCCAATCTGCTTGCTCCATTGTGATCGGAGTTAATCTTCCTGGAACACACTGGTAATCAGAGAGTTTCTTTCTGCAAAACTTTCAGTGTCTCTCCATTGTCTATGTTCTTTTTATTATGATTTTTATTATTTTTAGAGATAAAGTCTTGCTCTGTCACCTAGGCTGAAGAATAATAGTGTGATCTTGACTCACTGCAGCCTCAAACTCTTGGGCTCTAGTGATCCTCCTGCCTCAGCCTCCGTCTTGAGTAGCTGGGATTGCAGGTGTGCACCATCATACCTAGCAATTTTTATTTTATTTTAATTTTTGTAGAGACAGTGTTTTGCTGTGTTGCCCAGTTTGGTCTCAAACTCCTGGTCTTAAGTGATCCTCCCACCTCATCCTTCCAAAGTGCTGGAATTACAGGTGTGAGCCACCACACCCAGCCCATCTATGTTTTTGATGTTCAAATTGTAGTTTCCCAGTGTCAGCATCATCTGTACTGTTAGAAATGCAGAATCTCAGGTCCTATTCCAGTCCTACTATAACATGATCCCACAACATAGCATGTGATTTGTGTGCACATTGGCATTTGGGAAGTGCTATTCTGTTCACAAAGGTGCATGCTTTTTGACTTGGTCTTTAAGCCCCTCTACATCTGGCTTCAAACAGCTTTCCAACCTTATTTCTTGTTTCTGTTCCACTATACCTGAGCCAAACAGAACATTCACTCCAGTGGGTCACTGGCATCCTGTTAGTTGAGCTTATGTGGTCAGTCTTTCCATCTTTGCATGTCTAAGCCATGCCCATGTCTTAAGAACCATCTCAGGTTCTCCCTGTTCCAGGAAACTTTCCTGATTGTCCCAGAAGAAAGAAAGTTTTCCGTCTTCTGAATTCTTACAACGTTTTATTTGCTCTTCTCTTAGGGCATTCAGCACTATCTGCCTTCTGTTATCTTCCCTTAGCGGACTGTATAAGTTTGTTTGATCTTCTAGAGTCCCACAGGGACTATACTATATGTGGTGTATAGTAGATGCTCACTAAATATTGTGGAATAAATAAATGAATGAATGAATTTAAGAATTAGTGCCAAGTGTATCTTATTTTCCCCATTTTCTATTTTTATTTATTGCCTTAATAATACAGGACACAAATTATCCTTTAAAAGCCAGCTCTGTGCAACAAAAATGGGGTTAAGGTTGAGGAGAACATGACATCTGAAAATAAGCCAGAATAAGAATTTCCTCCAGATGTTTTTTTTTCCTCAGAGTTTATCTTTCCCAAGTCTCATTCTCTTTATGATAAGAGAATCATCTGATAATAAAATGTTATTTTAGTATGTGATAAATGAAGACTTAGGGGAGGAATCATTTGCTTTAGAAAGTGATTCAAAGTTGGATTTATTCTGTTGGTAATCTCATCCTAAATTTAAAATAGCATTTGATTTTTAGTACTATATCATATTCTCAGCTTATGGACTTATTTGTTACAAAGTAAAGTTCAGATGTGTTAATCTCCAAGCCATCTGAATTGCTCTGATTAAGATCACATACTAGGAATAGGGTGATTTCTCCAAGTCTAGAATAATTGATTTTCTGTTAAAGATGGTACCTGGCATCATTTTTTCTCAAATAACCAGCGAGTATTTATTGATTGACCAGTTCTGTGCTTATACAAGGCATTGGAAAATACAAGAGAGGTTGAGAGAGTCATTATGTGGTTGGAGAGAAGATTTTGAATACAAGAAGCAATTAGACCATATAAAGCAGTAATGATCTCATTAAGACATCATTGGTGTTACATACAACATAGATCTGATGAGAGGTCAGAGATGGATAAAGGTTTTGGAATAGTCAGGAAAGTTATCATGAAGCAGGTGGGACCTAGGCTTGAGAGGTAGATTTGTGTAGCAGAGGAGAGAACAGCAGGTGCAGGTAAGAGGAAGCAGGAATATTTGGTGATAAGGGGTTGTAGGGGCTAGTGTGGGATCCAGCTTTATTAAAGGGAAGATTCCTAACACATTCATCTAACTGATTTCCATTGCACATTCCTTGAACTCGTTTGTGCCTTGGAGTGTAGCAGGGAACAAACTGCCTCTTCCACATAGCACTTAGATGAAGAAATGGGCATTTAACAAGTCACACAATTAGATATATAATTTAAAGTTGGGGTAAATGTTGTGGGAGGAAAGTATTTAATACAAGGTGGTACAAGAACCTGGAAGAGGGTGACTGTTACACTTCATAGCTGATTTACTCCGATAGCTTCCTGCCTGATCGTATCCTGAGTAACAATCAATCTACTTATTTAACAAATTCCTTTTAAATACCTACGAGTACTGTGCTCTCTGTTGATTCCTATAGGAACTAACATAAGCTTAGGAGTTCCTGGTTAAGTAGAGCATAGTGACTTATGTCTGTAACCCCAGCACTTTAGAGGGTAAGGTGGGAGGATCTCCTGAGGCCAGGAGTTGGAGACCAGCCTGGGCAACATAGCAAGACCCCATCTCTACAAAAAATAAAAAATTAGCTCAGCATACTGATGCACGCCTATAGTCCTAGCTTCTCGGGAGGTGGGAAGATCACTTCACCCCAGGAATTGGAGGCTACAGTGAGCTATGATTGCACCACTGCACTCCAGCCTGGGTGACAGAGTGAGACCCTGTGTCTCAAAAAAAAAAAAAATCCCTGCTTAACAGGGAAAAGAGCTACTTAAGTAGTATAATATGAAAAGAACTTTAGTAGAGATATGAGAACACAGATATTTCCAAGAGCAGTAGAAAATAAGTTAAATAAGTAGAGTAGACCCCAAGTGATAGCTCTTTAATAGTAAGCAGAGAAGTTCAGATTGGGTGTGGCAGCATTTTAGTGGGTTCTCTGGGTTCTTAGATGGGGAGAGAGACATGAGGAAAAGAGAAGGCCAGGATGAAGGTTTCAGGGTAATCTACACAAAAAGTAAGAGAAAAAAAAATGGAGGGAGTAGAAAGGAAGTAGGAATATATTGAGAAGGTATTCAAGAAACTAAATAGGACTGGAAAACTGACTGGATAAAGCATAGAACCATAATGGTCAGGGGTGACCCAGTGTCTCTACCCTGGTGACCTAGAAGAATTGTGGCATCCATGAGAGAAGTAGGGGTGTTGAGGGAAGATCTGTTTTGAATGGTGATCCTACTTCGAACATTTTGGGTTTCGAGCAGTATGAGGCCATAAGGTATGCAGGTGGAGGTGGCATACTGCTGAGGTAAGAGGTTATGACTGGAGATAGCTAGCAGAATCTTCAGGGTAAAAGTGATTGTGGAAGAGATGAAAGTATATGAATTCAGGGAAGAGAAAGAGGAGAACAAAGAGCTAAATCCAGGACCCCAGGCTTCGAGAATAAAAGTTACGCATTGGTAGTAAAAGTTACTATGAGGAGAAGCAAAAGCTACCTGTAGAGAGAGAGAGAGAATTGTTTTGTTTTTTAAGGCAAAGGATAGAAGGTAAGGTGGAAAAGTGGTGTCTGATGGAACTAGAAGTGTTTCAAGTAGAAGATCTGTAAGAGCAATTTCTTATTGATATTCTCTCATGTATAAGGTATTGTGAGAGATGCAAAGATGACTAAAATGAGCCCCAAACCCAAAAGCTTTCAGTTTCTTTGGGTGAAACATGAAATTGCTGGGGTTTTTTGTAAGGCAAAATGGCAATTTCATATGACACAGCCTGGTAGAAGAGGAGATAGAACATATGTACAAATGCATTTAATACAGGCAAGATGGTGAGAAACTCAATAAGAGAGGCTCAGGCAACATCCTACTTTCATGCATAATTTATTCCTAAAAG